GAGTTTTTATTATACCCCACTTTTGTTTGAAAATACTAAATGCATTTTCCACAGCATCCTGACTTAACCGATTCGTTTTAACGAATAAAATATCATTTGATTTTTCTCCTTCGAAAAACTGCAGAATACCCTTGATGGTTGCGTAAATCTTTTAAACACGGCGGTTGCAAAATTTTTTCATTTTAATTTTTTTTTAGTTTGAAGAATAATTTAAAGCTTCTAATAAAAATGTTTTAATATTCCTTGAGTGGATTAATGCACATCTATATGGATTGAAACCATAAAGCGAATTACTGTTCAAACAATCAAATAAATCGTTCATGACTGAATAAAATCATGTAAATCATGGAATCTGTAATCTGCAGTTTTACTGTAGAGTTGACCAGTTGCTACGCAAATGCGAATCGTTACTGTCATAGAATTACTCAGTGATTGTGATGAACATTTTACGCACATTTTCTGCAATGAAGAAGGGCAAATGTGTGCATCTGTGATTTTAAAAAAGCACTTATTTCCAGGCATGATTAAAATTGTTATTTGCCAATCATACGAGAATGTTTACAATAATAAATATACCTATTATAAAATCAATGGTGGAAGTAATATGAAAACGATTTTTCATATTTTTTTCGTGAAAAAAAAAATTGAGTTGGACTAGGATCGGGATTAAATATTTTTGGTTGAAATTTGTTTAAATAAATTATGTTTATCCTAGTTCCGTTTGATCTCGAAAGTAAACAGTGCCACGTGAAAGTAATGATAATAATTTGGCATTAAATTGAATTTATTTACTTTTAGATATTTCATTACAATCACATATTATTTTCTAAAAAATGTCTTGCTACTGGTCGATTTAATCTATTAATCTACAATAATCATAATAATTTCAATCATAATTATACATAATAATTATATTTTTTTAAAATTATATTTATATAAAATTATTATAATAAAATATTAAGTTGATTTGTATATTTTATAAAATGTAGTTTTATCTTGGCTATAAGTGGAAATTAATGTCTTATATACCTGCATGATTTTGAATTAACTTTTCATGAAATAGACAATAACATTTCACATCTTGTATTTTTCTTTTATTTTTTTTTCGTTAACTGGTCAGTAATTAATGATTTTAAATTAAAATATTATTTTTTACTAAAAAACTTCTTTATAAGACATAAAAAATATATAGCTTATTGATGTGAATATTTTAAATCCAAAGTGAAATGTATTAACTTGTATATTACAATATGTGTAATATTATTTTTTTTTTTTATGATAAGCTTTAAATTAATAATATAGAAGTTGTATAAAGTAGTTTTATTAAATAATAATACAATGAATAATAGTAAATCTGATTAGGAAGTCGTATAGATATGGCTTAAAGATAAAAAATAACATTTTAATTTTATTATGGCCTGTTAAATAATTAATGAGTTAATGTAAAATGATATAGTATTTTACGAGATGAAAAAAAATTGTTTCTATTTTACGTAATAGATAACTTTTCAAGAAATTTACAATTTCACTAAGTGAATATCATTTATATATTCAATTTGTATCAGATACTATACAGGACTAACTTTTGAAAGCTAAAATTTTAAATAGGTGTAAAACTGATTTAGTTTAGACTGATAAAATTAGAACATCTTCCAAGTTTTGATTGATGTTATTTCAAGTATTAATATGAATAAAATCGAAAGGTATTAATTCAATCTTAAGAATAATTGAACTTCTGTCGATTTTATATTTATATTGAGTCCTGTGTTAGACTTATATTAAAAAAAAAATAAAAATACTGATGGACTTTGGCAAAGAAGATTTTTAGGTCGATTACTAAGATACATTCTGATTAACGTATCGTTAATGTATAGTATGTATAGAGTGGACAATAAAATATACTAATATAAATTTATAAAAGTTTCTTAAATGATAGATTGATAAGTATTGAAATTTAATGTATAAATGATATTTTTATTCGATAAAAAAAATATAAGGTTGTTTTAACCGTTTGATAAGTCCAGTTATGAACTTAAATACGTCTTAGATTATATATTTCAAACAACCGTTTACGTTTGTTCAGTATATTATCATTAGCAAATCAACGAATTTCTTCGGAACTATGGTATAATAGATTCTTTAGTAACTATTCGTAGTAATATGTTGATAATCCATGTAATAGTTTTGTGCTAATATAAATCATCAGTTAAGAAGTTTAAAAGAAAAAATATAAACCATGGTTGAATAATGTTTTATATTTATAGGTAGTTTATAATTTTAGGTTATCCATCGATATTTTATTTTTGTTACTGTGAATAATACGCAACGGATAATTTGATTTATTTATTATAAAATGTTATAACGTGCGAATTAAATTTAATGTACACGAATAACATAATACGTTAAAATAATACATTTTTATAAAGATTCTTTAAACGTTCGAATATAGTAGACGCGAAACACGTGACTTTTATTTCAAAAATTATGAAATCACTAAATAAGATAAAACAAGCTAAACGAGAAGATGGTTTAGAAACACTTGACAGGACGCAGAGAGTGTACTCGAGGAAAAGCAAACTATTGTCTCCTATCGGGGAAATAAACTAAAAACGACGAAAACAAAGGATCTTCGATGCCAATTCGTTCGAATTTATTTGACGATAAATAACGGTGAACTCAATCAATCAATCGGGAAAAGTCGGTAAATATAACGTCGACTCGATCCGGTCATTCGGATGCTTCGGCGATAGCATCATCTATGACGGGTGACAAAAAAAATATTGTGACCGTATACGCGGTATAGAGCAAAAACCACGTCGAGCATAAATAATGACGGTACGCGTAATGTAGGGACGATTTCAGTATCAGCTGCGTTAGCGTTATTCTCATTTATATTATGTTCCCGGGGCTATTATTTTCGTCTACGGACGGGATGCGAAACGTTTCAGGAGCGTATAGTATAAATGCAATGCGAGTTCCCCTCCCCGCCCGCTCCTAGCCGTTCGATATAACGTGAAATATTGTAATCGATAAAATCAAAAGCGTGCAGCGATTTCCCGTATAAAACCCTAAACGACGACGCACGCGTAGCCAAAGGGATATGAATTAAAATCATTATTTAACCCGCGTGTTTTTAGAAATGTTCGATCGAACGCGTTGGCTTTTAACGGTTATCCTATAGTCTTACGAGGCATACATTGTGCACGTGCGTTCGTTCACCGTGTCCGACCAAAGACGTTTTCTCCGCAAAAAACCGTTACATCGAACGATAATCTTTTCTCAGCCTTCAAAAAAGGGGAATGGGAAGCCGTCAACACACAACGGCGGTTACACGTTTTTTTTTTTTTTGTTTATATTATTAACGGGCAACAATGATTAGAGTAGTGAGGTCCATCAATATCGTGTTATCAACGGTGATTTCGACTCGTCATGAACGTCATGTACGGGAGAACCGTATACAAACCCGCGCGAATCATCATTGTGCTGGTCGCGAGACGTAGATGAATCGCACCCTCCCCCCCCCTCCGCACCAACACGAAATAACTTCGCGTTGTTGTGATATGATAATGAAAATAATAAAAATAAAAAATACTATATAGCTGCAGTCGTGATGACGATATAGTCCCCGTTCGGTCGTGCGATTTGGTCGATACACACGTGACCAGATTTTTCAAAACTATTTGAATGGCCGCGGTGAAAGACGATAACGGTAAAAAATAAAAAGAAAAAAATCTTATAGTTATATCGTATTGTCGTTTGTCTTATTAAGTAAATTAAATTTTTCTGTTTATTCATTTTATCAACAGTTATTTGTGCTACTGCAATTAATTTTTTTTTTAATTATTCCGTACTTAATTTTAGTTAGTTTTTCGAGTTCTGAAACTTTAAAACTGCTATACCAAACAGCTTAGGAATATCGACTATTATCGTTTATCCCCATTTTCCTACGTTAGTTTAATCACGCACGAGTGGGCACGCGATTTCATGTTGTCTTAACATTTTAACAATTTTGTTGTCGGCGTAACGAACGAACAATACGAGAGGCCAAAGAGCCATCATTTGATCGGCGAAACGTAGCAATGGAGTGAAAGGCAATACGACTCCTTGAGGAGCGTATTGGAACGCATTGGAAATGAGAGCGATTCGGGGTCAATCCTGGTACCCTCAGTGTCATTTTGGAATACGGGACAAATATCAGCCTTGATTTTAAATTCTTCACGCCCATCTGTGGACGAGGGGGGGCCTGGACGATGATAACAAAATAATAGTATGTCCGTAAAAATGAATTTGCGTCGGACGAGAAATCATCGGTATCGAATATCGACTGTACAAAGTATTAACGATAAATCTTTATCAGTTGTTATTAGGGCTGAGATTTTAATGCCCTAAAAAATCTCAAAAAATGCACTATAAAAACGCATTTAAATTACATTTATTATAGCTTAAAAATTGAAAAAAGATTTCAGATGATACTACAGTAGTAATTTTTTTTTTTAATAGTATTCTACGTAGTTATTTGTTTATTTCTGTTATATTTCTATTTCCTTTCATTCATTCTAAATTATAATTTAAACAAAAATGTTAATACTTTAAATTGTTTTTGCAAGTCATTATTACTAACCTGAACAAAATTGCTATTACACTGTATAATGCAATATGTTGTCTTATATTTTGAAACAAAAATGATCGTCGTTGGTTGGATAGTATACTTATTTCGTCATTTTCGTTAATTTTTTATGAACAAAAAGTTAAAAACGCTCTAAAAACTAAGAAAATGTACTAAAACCGTCAAAAAATGTACTGAATATGCATTCAAGGTAAATTTTTTCGAAAAACGCAAAAAAACCTGCAAAATAAAAATTATTTTAAAACAATCAGTACCACCCAAAACATATTTTATACTTACGGACACCAAACACCAGGAAAAAAGATGCTTTTGCATCAATATCCCAGCCCTAATTGCTGAATATAAAAAAAAATCTTGTGTTTACCGCTTTCAGGTGTCGGACGACGTGGACGAATAGTGCCGAGGTGCTGGTGTGATAAGCCTGACTATGGACTTGGACGCGGACACGGTGGAGCGGTGGCTGTGCGAGCAGGCGCCGCAGGACCTGGTGGACCGCGTGATCCGGGCCCGGCTTCAGCACCGCACCGGGTCGCTGACCATAAACCGAGCGAAACGCGGCTCCATGACGTCCGAGATGTTCAACACTTGGCTGGCCTCATCGCCGATCAAACGGTCAAAGTCGCCGAACAGGTAACGGACGTGTAGCATTGAACATTGTACTTGTCACGGGTTGAGGTTAGGGTATGGGTATCGAGTAGTTGCGGGTGGGTGAGTTATGTTGGTGATGTATATTGGGGTCTATTAAGTGGTGTATCTTTTTTGAGGGCTGTATTTAAGGAACACATCATAACAAGGGACAGGTAAGGTTAGGTTAGGATAAGGGATAGGATTCATCGTGAGAACCTTTAAAATGTGTATTGCGAGTTGCTGCCTTGGGGTGATACGCTTTTTTTATTGTAAATTTATGGAGGTCTAAAAGTTCTCTTTTATATTTACCTTTAGGTACACAAAAAAAAAAAGGATTATATTTTAATAATAAAAATAATACTATACAATTGTTGTAAAAAATCAATCGTTGATGCGATACTATTGTACATGGATATGAACGAGTTAACGAAACAATAATGTTTTACTTTAAAATGTCAAATTCATACAAAAGATATAATAAAACTTACCATAACCGAGTTCAGGATAATTTATAAAAATCTTCAACGGAAATTTTATTAAGTTTCATCAAAACTGACATTGTGAATATTTTTACATATCTTTTTCTTCATATGTCGGTCATTTGTTGGAATATTTTTGCAGCTCAATCTCTGTATAATATAATATACCAACGTTCACCATCAATGATGATTTGTTTTTATGAAATATTAAATAAGCTCTAACTTTTTTACTTTCCGAAAAAAAATTATATAATCTAATATTCTTTTCTAAAAAGTTTATTAGTAGTAAAGGACGTACTTCTTATCGAAATACAATTACGGATAGTCAGTTGGTAATCGTTAGTTGTTTAGTAGTTACGTAGGTAATCGTTGGTAAATTAGCTGTATGTCGATGAGCCGGACACTTATAGCTACTATAGAAATGGAGTGAGGTTGAAATTAAATGAAAAGACACAGGATTTGGTGAACTGATGCTTTATGACACTCGCACAGAGAATCCAAATCGTAAAGTGAAACTAAAAGTCATCTAATCGCATGTAGGGATAACTTTCCATAAGAAATTTTTTGAAATGTTCCGACTGTCGGTGCGCACGACGACTTTTGGCCAAGATCCCGGTAAAAGGGTTTTGTGTCCATGTTGTATAGGAAATAAATAGATACAATACGGGATAGACCTTGGACCGGCACTTTGAGAATTTGACCTACTTAGGATGTCAATAGTGCATTGTTGGGTCAGGCCTTTATTATTTGAAATATACTGTCTTTATCGGATGAATAGTTATATATTTATAACATATTACATAATCGAATGGTATATACCATTACAATTGATCAATAAGAGTACAGTCGATTGATGTGGAATAAAGAATATATTACAAGTATGTGCTGTCTATAAGTGGCTTAGGCAAGAATTTTAAATGAGAGGAACTAAAAACTCCTTTGAGCCGGTTAGATAAGAAAGGCTTTGAGATTTCGTCCATAATCCTTCCCCTATCACCAAATTTAAAAATGTGTTTCTAGCATTTAAAAATAGTTTTAATTATATCTGTTAAAATATAATTAATAACAATAATAAACTAATGGTGGTCAGGTACGGTAGCATCACCACGACATAAAATGGTATAAAAACTATAGTGATTATAAAATGAAGGTGTTAGACGAGTCACCACAACGTTAACGATCATTAACAAAAATATAGTAGAAATCATGGTAAAACTAATACGCTTGTATACGATATTTACCAATAACATACACCCATTATTCGTCAACATTTAGTTAATACCGAAGTTTTAAAATTTTTATAATTGAAACCGTATGGTAAATGATTTGGATAAACATTTGGATCATATTGGTTCGTATGATTATTACAAGAAATGTTGTATGCGATCAAAAACGTGTAACATTGTACACCTCTTATAATGTAACAGTTGTGGTGACCATTAGAGTGCTATTCACACCAACAGTAGATATTACATTTACTTTCAAAATGCTATTACTTTTGTACTACGATTTAATATGATCCTAAAATATTGTAAACTGTAATTAGTACTTTAGGTTAGTTCCCTTAGTATAACATCTTAAAGTTTGTATCAAATTTAAATTACATTTTGTAATAAAAATTACAAATACACCACACGTTTTAATTATTGTTTAATTTTATAGTGAATATTATTGTGACAGTAATGCTGATATGAGTTTGCGACTTTAACTTTAATATTAGTACAGCTTTAACAAGTAAACATAATACATTTTACGTTTAAAATTTAAGTTAAGATTTAATCTTATGCTTAATGTTTTCGTGATTTATAGAAATTTGTCTACCAGTAATTAAACTAAATTCACAGAAATAAATATTTCACTATAAACCCTTGTATATAAACTGTATGTAATACCACCAACATTTCCATGGTTTAATAAATAATTATATATTCCATCGTATCACTATAGGGTAGTTAACATAGTTATTATTAATATCTGTAGAGATAAATATTAAATATTTTTTTATTAAAAAACTTGTATTAATCAAATATCTATTTGCGGTATTATTTAGTCATTGTTCTTTAATTTTAGATCGGAATATAATGATGATAAAATGATTTGCTTAATTGATTGAACATTTGATCATTATTCATTTAGTTAAGCCATATGTCATATTGAGTATTGATATTATATATTGAGTATATATTGATTGATTAAAAATAAATACGTGTATTGTAACTGCTAGTAAAATATAATGTTGAAACATATTTGGTTAGAAAGTATTTTGTCAAAATTCAGAATTATTTTGGGATGAAATAAAATACATTTTGAGATCTTATTACCACGAAGAATGAGATATATCCACACACAAGAACACATATAGGTTTAGCTATATTATTTTACTTTAAATTTTGAGTTTATAAAATACCATATTATATTTAAATATTTATTCCTTACAGGCAAAGTCGAAAATCCGACTATTTTACATAATGTTTGGAAACTTTGGATGATCTAAATTACCATTTATTAACTTCTACATTTTCTGGGGAATCTAAAAAAAATTTTGTGAACACAAGTTTATATCGGATTTCTTTTGAAAAATATGATTTTTTTTTTATAACTGAATAAAACATTATATTCGTATATATATATTTTTTAAATCTTAAGTAACACCAAGTGAAATTATTAATGTTAAAACAATATTCAAGGGCAATTATTCAAATCAAGTATTCGCAAACGGTAATAAATAGTATGATATTGTTTAATTGAAATTGTTATTTACCGTTGCCATAAGGAATCAAGGTCGTACAGAATGTATTGACGATTGATATACGCGATTTATTTACAACCGCAATACTTTAATTGACTTTATATACATTAGGTTAAGGTTATAAATATTTGTCGTTTACTTTTAGTACAGTAAACAATGGATGGTTAATATTATGTGCACTTTAGAAATTCTCACTGAAAGTTAAGGTAGTATTTTAGATTCCGAGTGAAACGAGGAATATATTTCTTTATTGTTATAATGTTTCAAAGCAACAAATGCATAATATACAACACCACGGTACCTATAAATATTTTTACTGTTTCAATGTATCCACACCACACCCATTGTATGTTGATGATATTGCAGTTAACCAGGGATAGAAAATATAAAAATTAGACGTCGAACTGCTGACGTTCGATTATTATGTTTTTATTATAGGTGGGCCCTCAATTATACACGGACAGTAGTTGTTCAACACGATATAGAAACAGATCGATTATAATACTTATCCGTTTTTTTTACATAAAAATTAGTAATTATCTTATGAATAATAGTTAAAAACTAAAAATTAAACAAAACACCGTACACATAAGATGCGAAATAATTAACTGTCGCAGTAAAAAATAAATCAAATTGAGTCCAATTATCCTGGTCTGAGAACATAATATTGTTCTATAAAATTAGAATTTAAAATTTGAAACTGTGAAAGACAAATATTTACCGATTTCCCCACCATCGATTGACGTAGAATGATGTTTAAAAAACCATGTTTACATAATGATCATCTTTAGATGTTAACGGCTTTCTAATTTATAACAGTTGTTTCTTTATATTTTCACAAAAATAAAATAAAATAAAATATTATTCCAGTGATATACTTTGGTTGTATATAAGGTTATTTTTTTTTAAAATTAATTCAATGTGAAAGATACTTTTAACAAAAATACATGCGTCACACATTCGCAAACACATGTATGTTTCAAAAGTATTTCGTCCTCGTAATGGAATAATAATGTTTTTTGTTTGTAAAAGTACACAAATACCATTAAACAAATCGTAAAAGCAAAATTCAAATTTAAAATATTAATATTCCAACACGTACTTCATATGTGTTTCTTCCACATATTGATAATTGTTCAAAGGCATACGTCTTACAAAAATCATTTTTCTTCTCTCTGAATTTTTCAAAAAACTTCAAAATCCAATAAATAGTTTATTATTCATATAGATTTTGTTTAGATTTTCCTTCGGAATATTTTATTCCCTCATTGAAAATGTAGGTATACTTTAAAATACTTTTCAGAAATAAATTTATACGTAGATACCTTTTTTACGACTAAATTGATCGCTGTAGCTTGATTGAATGGATAAATTTACTATAATAAAATGTTGAGACAAATAAAAATCTCAATAATTTCTTTCATTTATGATTTTAATAACTTGTTTATTTGATCAAATAATATATATATAAATTGTGTACAGTTAATTATATCTAACATGAAGCATGTACAGTTTATACTCGTATGTTTTATGATCGTCGTCGGCCAATTTATTTGTACATGACTTATTCTCAAAATTAAAATTGGGTCAAAAATACCTCTTAGCATCTTTTAGCCACTAAAAACTGATTTAAGGTACCTACTTTAAAGGTCAAAAGTTGAAAAATAAAATCAATATTATATTTACCAGTTACCAGTGATTTAGATGTGAAAATATTAAAAAGGAAATGAATCATTTGGATGGAATAAATATTACATATAATACATTTTATGTATTATATATTATATTAAACGTGCAATATTTTTATTATGTTGACATATTGGACCGGTTATTGTTTATAATATAAATCGATCGTTATGAATCTCATTGGTTGGGTAAATAATGTTTTTTTTTACGAGTAAAAACTAGTCGCGATTTATAGTACCCGAATGAAGAATACTGAAGCTATCCGAACATTTTTGTTGGTTAAATAAAATAATTAACATAGAAATTCATAATTTTAAGGGATCTAAGTTATAACGATTCGGCAATATCGTTTGAAAATAATAGTTAATTTACAAAGCTATAATATTATGTAACACGATTGTGTAATAATAAATAATTCTACTTGACCTCTTTAAACAAATACTTATACGGTATAGCAAACAATGAGTAAAACTGATTTAAGAGTACATCAAATAAACAAAAAAACCTTTGTAATTTATTTGTTTTTTTCCCCCCCTTGGCTGGTTCAATTTCTTAAGGAAATTATGGACTTATCGAAAACAATAATTGCAATAGACGATGTAACAAACTTGTTCTACCCATTACGCATATTAACTATAACCGACTGAAATTGACTTGTGCTCCTTTATACCCACGCATCATATATTCTTTGTACGTCCTTGGTTTAAAATATCAAATCGGATAGTATAATTGTATTTAAAAATTTGTTTTAAACTACGTTCGACTTAATTTCAAACCAACGTTTCGTAAACATTTTAAACTCATAAAACGTTATGATCGTTCTTTTCAGCATCGGTTAAACTAATATAACGATTCAAGTCGTAAACACATAAAAATCATGGTTGATTAGTTTTGCACTAAAGAGCAAATAATACGTAATGAAATGAAAATATAGTTATCAACAAATTTTGGGTTATTATATTTTCATACTTTTTTTTACGGTTTTTTTAAATAGATATAACTTACAGACCGACATATATTAAATTGTTTTAATATAATACGAATATAATAAATATGATTCAAATGAGATTTTGTTATTAATAACATTTAATACTTATTGATTTACGAAATCATAATTTAAGATATATTGAATATTTCATTGAATATTTTACCAGTGATTTTGTTTTTTTTTTTAAATCGAACAAATAATATACATTTTATTGACCATAATTATATTATTAATATATTTTATGAAATAAGATTTGAAATGAATAAAACCTAATTTATCGGGTAGGTTCTATTTAAAGTACTTTATGATTCTCAAAGTGAAGTAAGTCCTATATAGAACGATTTATATTTCTCAATTTCAAGCTTACAAAGCATTTTTTTCTTGTTCAATAAAATCTTTTAAACTAATATTTCGAAAGAAAATATATCCACTTAAATCGAATTTATTTTTCTTTCTCAACATATAACGTTGGAAATATCTATTGAAAGAAACAAATCGAATAAAATACAGTAAATATGATTTAAAGTATTACATTTAATTTAAAATAGTTAAGAACTTATATATGCTTACTTATTGATCTAAAATTTCGTATTTATCCTGCACTCCGCACTTAATAATGATTTATAACAAACTACTGTTTTTTTTTTTTATTGCGACGAGTTCGACATTTTTACATTGGGCAATGATGAAATGATTATTATTTGTTCACGTATATTAAACGCAAGGTTTTACATGAGATCAAATTTTCAAGTCTCGTGTTTTTCGTACACGAAGCAAAATTATTACTACTTTGTTATATAGAAAAAATAAATAATATATAATGAACTATTGTTCGCAATATTCGAAACGATTTGAAATAATAATCAAAACGGTGAATATCCCGAGACCCGTACGATAATAATTATAATGTATTTAAACAGTAAAATCGTTATCCTGATCGATCAATTATGATGACAGAACAGCATTGATAGAGTGTTATTATTAAGTAAATAAATGTAATAACTGATTGTACTTCTATTGACTTGACCGCGACAGTAGACTTCTGCACGTAGTGTAGGCATACCGCATTTGTATTTATTCAACTTATTTCAACAGAGTGACAAGAAGCAGCGGTGAATGGAGACATCATCTGGGCATGTTGGACGAAGGAGAGCTTTTCATGGAGCTCATCCGAGACGTATCGAACGAATTGGATATCGACGTCCTTTGTCACAAGATACTCGTCAACGTCGGCTTATTAACCAGAGCCGACCGTGGTAGCCTATTCTTAGTAAGAGGCAAACATCTGGTGGCCAAATTGTTCGACGTAACAGTAAACACTGGTAAGAATAATTGTAATCAATAGTTACATATAATATTAAACTAATCGTGTAAGAACGTTGCCCGAAATTTGGAAATTCGAAACATAAAACCTAATGACTGACATTACATGCCAGTATATGTGACATTATATAGTTCGAAATGATCGGATGAAAATAATAATAATTCAAAACCTTTTTGTGACGTTCTGTTAAAGTAACGTTGTGTTTTGAACAATATAATCAAACATTTGAATTGTTTCACAGTAAACAAAATTAAATTTGAATTTTTGTCGGGAAGAATAATAAAAAATGCATATGGTTCATTTAGGTTATATTGTTTATTGCCAAACTTGATGTAAAATACGTGATGTATACATAATCAGCACAGGTAGTATACTACCTATAAGGTATAAGCTATGAGATAGTGATAGTAGGATCAAAATGAATTTAAATAATGCATAATATAATTAAATGGTGATTATATTACTTAAAATTATGTCATAATTTATTCGATTTGATCAATAATGGTTGTATATCCAGTTATAACAGATGTGCAAATTATCAACCTATATAGACTAATGATGCCCTAAACTGTTAAAGATTTTACACATACGATAAACATTTATATGCGCTGTAATTACTCTTGCATTCATTTTTTTTTAACACAAATTATATGGTATTCACGTATTTACAGCTTTAAAATAAATAATTTGACTTAATAAAGTTTCACTAAAATGGTATTGTTTTATCCTTAATCGTCAAGGACATTTAAACCGTTAAATTAGTAAATTATTTGATTATAATTATTCATCAAAATATAAAAGTCAAATGTAATTATCATAGAATATTAAAGTGAAAAAGTAAAATTCAGTGCTAAATGCAAATTATTTATTTTAAATTTAATATCTTAAGTCAATTTATTTAATAATTTTATTTTTTAAATCATAAGTTAAGAACTTTCCAGTACAATGGTTTCATTGGTCATTTTTTTCTGCTAGAATTTAAAACCTTCGAAAGTTGAATCTATAAAGTGTATATTACATTTTAATAAAAATCCAGCACACATATTAAATTATTTTAATTTTCGAATTTTGAATCAAAAACAAAAAATGTTCATCAAATCATACCTATTATGTTTTGATTGTAATTTTTTTTATATAGATTCAAATTATAATAACGTATAATCAGATATATATATATATATATATATATATAACGTATTCCAGATGTATTTGATTTATCACGACACTTAAATGTCTATCAAATATATAATGTAAACCATAAATATTTTGAAATGGAAAATTTAATACGAGTCAGCAACAAAATTGTGTGGGTGGTATTAGTCTTACAATTAAGACTATCTAAATGTATACACACTTTCAAAAAAACATTATATCAAATGACATGTAGAGATAATTTTGTACCGTGACGAGGAAAAACATTTTTTTTTCTTAATACTGATTTTGTAAAATTTGATTTCCATTCGTGACGGAAAAAAAAAACATCTCGATCACATTGGAATAATATAATGACCGTTCGTCGATCGGTAAAAATAAAACCGTTTCGCGATTATTTTCATAGATACGTTTTGCATAAATAACTGCGGACGAGCGTGCGATATTCAAGGTTTTTTTTTTTTTTCACCCCATAAGTTCAACTCGTGTTCGTTTTACGAGGTCCGCGTGTTACGTAAAGAAGTATTGCAAAATCGATCGATCAACGCGATTGGAAAAAAAAAAAATAAATAAATAAAATGGTAATAGCAATGGATATTATTAGCTTGTACGACGGTTCTATTTATACCCATCGGAGTGTTACATAACGTGCACGATATTTCCTGCCGCGGTCCGGGCCGGAAACACCGCGGAAAAACAATGCTCGGGCCGGGCTAAGTCCGCACTAGGAGCGCTTGCACAGCGGTTGCGCACTGCATTATTTTTGGACAATATCGCGCCGACGGACACCGAGTCTATTCAGACATTAAACGAATACGCAACCGGCGGGTTTCGATTCGTTCACCGATGTCAACCACTTAAGGTGCCACCGGGAACGATTTGCGTTGTTGTGTGGAGATTTTGCGTTTTAGCGATTTTAACAAAACTGTGCAACTCGCACGCAGCGGCCCCGCTGAGCGCGTGCCGCGCGTAGCTTTACACGCGTGGTAATCGCTGAAAGAACGAAATAGTTTGATGTTCGGCGATTAATCGCTGTCAAAACGTCTTCCGCGTCGGTTGTACCCGAACAAATAGTTGCCGCTGTGTCTTATTTTTCGATCTCGCTACTTATAGCTTCCACAATTGTATAAAAAGTAGTTTCACTCGTGCGACAGGCTCGAAAAACTTGACTGGATAACGTTTTCATTTATCTAGAAGCGTATGAAATTCCTCTTCGGATAGCCTATGCTTATGATTTATTTCGTGAACCCATAAACGGTTTTCAACCGAATTTACATTGATGTCCACTTATAGCAGCACTCTTAGCCAGCATAATATTTTTCATATTGGTCGACGGCCGAATGAAAACAAATGAAAAAATAAAACGACACATGAAACTCATGTAAAATCTTCTAATCGTCCCCGTCGAAATCGTTAGTGGTCATCGCGCCTGTAAAATCACAGAAACGCTCAAAACGCGCAAAAACGCAAATCGCTCTCAGTGGCGCCTTTGAACATTTAGACTAAGCAACGAGCGGTTGATTAACAGTGAAAACGAACGCAGTGGTTCAAAAGAGTTGCGCCGGTCCAATGGATGATTGGACAATTCATGATTTATATTAGAGTACGTTGCATCATTGCACGACATCGTTATTATCGTTGTCAAACGTCGTAAATACTTCTGTAACGCTCACGGTACCGTTTTTGGACGACAATACCGCATCGACAGATAGATCAAACGTTCATTATTCGTGTAATTGATGAGTTTAAACTCGTATTACGCACCGCCGACGGATGATGTCAACCTGAAACTGTTGAACAAATGGGTAACGAGCGGGAAAGGATTATGATAGTGAAACCAACTGCACTTAGCTCAAGATAAGTATGTCGCTCCGTTCATAATATCGACTGGTAAAAGATAAAAGGGGTTAAGCGACAATGTTACTACTTTTCAGGAGAGCAAAAATAAATTTTCATATTTTCTTAAATTTGGCGTTAGCGCTTCGGTATTTATTTAATCATAAGGAATAAGGTTATTATATTACATGTTATCATGCTAGTCTAACACTAATTACATTGAAATATACATTTTTTATCATAACAAATTTAACTAAAATTACCTTTTTTTGGCACTTAGCTCTAATTTTTATTTTTATTTTTGTGATAAATGGCACTTATAAATTGTTTATTAGACTTTTAACAATTATGCAACGTAAGTATGTATATCTAGGACGTATAAAGAACTTTACTCATATAATCAATTATATCAATATAAAAAATGGTTTGATACTCATAAGTCATATTATTATTATTATGGAAGTTGATAAGCAACAACCGTAGCCTTGAATTTGTCGCTTAGCCTATAACATTTTCAATAATGTCGCTTGTACCCTTAAAAAAAGCGCTTGTCCTCTACTTCTATAACAGTTGTATCGTTTGTCCCAAAAAATCTTAATTCTTGTACTTACTAAATCTCATTATTAATTGATCGTAACAACACTAGCTCTAGTGCGATCGACAGATCTAACTCTCGGTTATCCCGTAATATACACCGTGTCGCTTAGCCCCTTTTACCTCTTACCAGCCGATATGTAGTTTGAGAATGTTTCGTTATCGTTGCCAATGATACATTGCCTCGTCGTAACTACTATTGTATGGTGTATTTGGTGTTGGACGTTCAGATAAACGGCATTGTTTTCTTTTTGTCCAGATAATTGTAGTACACTAACTACCGCAATAACTAGTCAATTGAACAGAGTGATTTAAATATGTAACCAAAAATTGAAATCATGTATCTACACGGGTCCGTAATGTACGTACGAGATTACAAAAAAAGATTACCAGGGCTCCAGTCTTGGCGGTAATTGTATTTTGTTCTGCGTAAAAGTTACTTGATAAAATCATTAAGTTCATATTATATAAACTGATGTACTGATTTCCCTTAAATGTTTTCACGTTCAGCAGAACATTTTCGACGAACAAAACGATAATATTTTACCGTAACGTATAGTAAGAGAAAAAAGAATTTGTTTTTCTGAACGCTGATTCTTTAAAATACGATTTTCATCGATCGTGCAATTTTCATATAGAACGTTCGTACAGAACGTGTACCAATATCTTTCCGAGTAAACTCAAGACGATTTTAATAATAATAATGGTTATAAATTACTACGTTACGATGAAAAACAATGGCGAACAAAATACACAGTTCTCGTGTACATTGTTTAATGTTCGTAATGTGTTTTACGATTTCAGTATGTTACGTTTAGATAATAATGTGTGCCGATGTAATTTTTTATGTACATCATATAAACGTTGCAGGGTGCTCGCAGTGTATTTTTATTGTATTTCCATGCGAACCAATCAAGTTTTTTAACATAAGGTTAGATTTTAACGTCACGTATTATATTATATTATATTTTATATATTTTTCAAACAAATACCGACGACACAATGCGGTTGGTCGAGTCTTCGTACAGCTGCCACCGCCACCGCCATGTATTAACATTAATTGATAAAATAAAACACGGGCTTTGAATGAAACGGTTTTGTGTAATTTTATTGTGCTGACCCAAATAATCTCGGTTTCGTGTAAATAATATAAATTGTTTTCGCTTTGAAAAATATATCCTTATTGTTTTCGTTTATGATCCAGTGCGATAACTCGAATTTCAATAAGATCCATTGTTTACTCTTGAAAGAGACTATTTTAATCAGTTTTCAGCTCACTGAGTATAAACTCCTTTAAGTAAAACAATGTTTTGGTACTTAACTTACTCATAAATGATAAAATGTAAAATCTAAATTATATACTTAATATGGATTTATATATTATTAAAAAGTTTATTATGATCGTCTGGTTAAAAG